TCCGCCGGCGGAGTCGCCCTCGTTTCACTTCCACACACACGCACGCGCGCTACCCCCAGTGCTCCTTCGGCGCAGGAGGTCTCGTGCGGGGCTCTAAACTACCTAAACTACTGTGCGAACGGCGCTGGTATAATTCGGCACTATGCTAAACCAGAAGCCCGACGAAGAGCGAGCAAAGGCAGGTAGGTAGGTATCTCCGTGCCCCAGCCCCGCCCCTACGCGCCCTCCAATAGGAGGCCGGCTCTGCAGGGGCAGCCCCCCCCCCCTCCCGAGGAGGGCGGGGGCCGCAGCCTCCCCACAAGAAGAGCATTCTCACCAAAACGCGCAAGGAAAATCACCCTCTGACCACGAGTACCCCGAGAAAGGTGTAACCCCAGGCAATCGGTTTCACCAGACCGGGGCGAGAGAGAGAGAGAGAGATATATAGAGAGAGAGAAAGAAAGAGGAGGAGGAGGAGACAATGCGCAGCATCGAGGCCCTCCGGGGCACATAACGACTGCAGAACATAAAGCTCGGAGGGGGCCCGACATAAGCGGAAGACAGACCGCATACCAAATCTTCCTATCCTCTAGGGTTTCCTAGGAGCAGAAAGGCCGAACAAGATCAGTGAGGGTCGCTGGGTGGGGGCGGGGGGAGGGGAGGGAGGGCGAGGCGGGGGGAGGCCGGGAGGGGGGGACCAGGAAGGCGGAGGGCGCAGGCTCAGAAGCGAAAGACTCGGGAGAACAAGCTGGGGAAGTCGCCAACGAGACACCCAGACTTGCTGTCTGGGACCCCGATCGTGGAATCAAGGTCGTACCATTTGGTATGATCTGCGTCCGAGCAGGCGCTGCGCGCGGACTCGCACTGGTCCTCTGGCTCACCGATAGCGTATCCCGCTTCGCAGAACTTGCCGAAACCGAGAGAGACGGACCGGAAGGCCGCGTCGAGCCTGCAACATCAACTATTTCTTCAGCTTCTTGGGCTTCCGGGCCGTGCCTGCCGAGCTGGACGAGCCGCCCTGCTTCTTGAAGGCCAGCTTCTCCACCAACTTGGCCTGCTTGCTCCGCGGCGCCTGGTCGCACGTCAGCACCAGGCAGACTCCAGACAAGCCGGCGTTCGCGCGGAGGTTGTGAAGTGCCTGTCGGAGGCCCGGGGCCCGGGTGGTGGTTACATGCAAGAATCCACTTCTTTACCTCCTTCTCCTCCTCCCCCTCCGTCGCGTCCGCCACCGTCTGTCTAGGAAGAGATGGAAACTCCTTCGACCCTCAACGTCAGGGCCCTTCCGCCGCCCTTGCGCCAACTTCCGTCGAGGAAGAGATGCCAACTTCTTCGACCCTCGGAGGCAGGGCCCTGTCTGGAACGCCTCGATGTGCCCGATGTCGGGGATCTACTGACCCTGGTCAATCCACACAGGGGTCAGTAAGGCTTTGCCAGATCCTGCAAGATCCCGCAGGATCCTGCACCCAAGCCCGGGTCAATGCGACCCTGGCCTTGCAAGATCCCGCAAGATCCGGCGCCCTGGCTGGCCCCCGGTTGCATTGTTCCCTGTCGCAAGGCTCCCGGCACGAGGGCTGCTAACGCGCCCTACGCCAGGAGGGCGGCGGCACCCCCGCTCCTTCTTCGGCGCCGCGGTCTCCGCGTGCTGCACCCTGCGCCGCTCCTCGCGGCCGCTGCGCGGGCTGCCTGCAGCGCCTGGCCTTCCAGGCCCAGCGCCGAGGGAACCTGGGCCACGAGGAACCTGAGCCACGAGCGGTAGGCTGCCCTGCACGACGCCCGGAGGCCTCCCCCCAGCGCGGGGGTAAGCAAGACCTCCTCAAGACTCGCTAGCCCAACGGCTTGAGCCAGCATGGCGACGGGAGGACGGGGGATGGGGGAGGGGGAGGAGGGGGAGGAGGATGATGAGCAGGATAATGCCCGCGCTGTGAAGCGGACGCGTCGGGCCGCGCCCGCCCCCCCCCGCGGGGGCCCGCCCTCCACCCTGGGCAGGGCCTCCGGCCGTGATGAGGCCGACCGCCGACGAGTAGCCGAAGTCGCCGAGCATCGCCGCGAAGACGACGAGGGGGGCCCACGACCGGTGGCCCCGCCTCCCACCAGGACCAAGTCCTGGAAACCCTCCGCCGCGCGCACCTTGGGCCGCGGGCCGTCCGCGTCGAAGAAGACGCACGCGCGCTCCGCGCCGCAGCTCACCACCTGGCCCGCGCGCCCTGCCATAGGGCCCGCCGCGGCGCGCACCCTGGCGCCAAAGGGGGGGCGGTCGCGCGGCCCCGCCAGCGGCTCCGCCAGCAGGAGGCCCCGAAGGCCCCGCACCCAGCTCCGCCGCGGCCACGCCGCCCGCCGCCCCCGTAGCAGCTCCGCCAGCAGCCGCTGGCTCCGCCGCTGCCGCGGGCTCCCGCCTCGAACGCCGCCGCGCGCGGCGCGACAGGGCGTCCGCCCAGCCGTCGGACTCGAGGTCCGACTCGCCCTCGCCGTCGGCGTCGTCGACCGCCATCGCCGCGGGCGCCGCTCCAGCAGCCGCCGCCGCAGGCTCCGCAGGATCCGCACCAGCACGCGCACGACCAGACCCAGCCGCCGCAGGCGGCATGCCGCCGGCTCCAGCCGAACCTCCAGCAGCAGCAGGTGCACGATGCAGGCCGTCGGCCCACTCGTCGTCCATCACCTCATCGACCATGTCAGAGGCGGCCTCCACGGCCAGCAGCGCGAGCCCACAGCCCGCTCCAGTGGCCACAGCAGCCGCCGCGGCGCCAGCCGCCGCCGCAGCGGGGGGCACCACGACCATCATTGACGGGTCGGCATCCGCCCTGGCGGCCGCGCGCCGCGCCGCGCGGCGCTGGCGGCGGCGACGCCGCCGCGCAGCCCGCACCGCGAGATCCGCGTCACCCCCAGGCCGAACGCCATCATCACCTCGAGCCTCGGCGCCAGCGCCAGCGTCACGCGGCCCCAGCGGCGCGGCCATGGCGAAGGCCAGGGCCGAGCACGCGGAGCGGGTGACGGCGGCGACAGTGCGCCTCGGCGCATGGGCGTCCACGGCCGCGCGGACGGCCGCAGCGACGAGCGCGGCAGCACCGGCGGCAGAGAGAGCCCCTCTAGCCTCGCCACGAGCAGCCATCGGGACGGCCGAGCTGGGCAAGGCGTGCGAACGCTTGAGCCAGAATGGGGATGATGATGATGAGGAGGAGGAGGAGGAGGACGGAGGGAGGAGGGAAGAGGGAGGAGGGAGGACGGAGGAGGCAGGAGGAAGGAGGAGGGAGGGAGGTAGGGAGGAGGGATGGGAAGGACGGAGGGAGTTAGCGGGAGGGAGGGAGAGGGAGGAAGGGGAGGGACGGGAGGGGGGGAGGGAGGGAGGGAGGGAGTGGGAGGGAGGGAAGGAAGGAAAGGGAGGGAGGGAGGGTAGGAGACGGGAGGGAGGGAGGGAGGGAGGGAGGAGGAGGAGGAGGAGGAGGAGGCATGAGAAGGAGGCGGAGGAGGCGAGGAGGAGGAGGAGGAGGAGGAGGAGGAGGAAGAGGAGGAGGAGGAGGAAAAGGAAGAGGAGGAGGAGGAGGAGGAAGAGGATAAGGAGAAGGGAGGAAGGATGAGGAATGAGGTTGTTGATGATGACGGTCATGATGATGCTGAAGTTGTTGAAGTTGCTGCTGCTGCTGTTGTTGCTGTTGTTGCTGTTGTTGCTGTTGTTGGTGTTGTTGTTGTTATTATTGTTATTGTTGTTGTTGTTGTTGTTGTTGTTGTTGTTGTTGGTGTTGTTGTTGTTGATGTTGTTGTTGTTGTTGTTGTTGTTGTTGTTGTTGTTGTTGTTGTTGTTGTTGTTGTTGTTATGATGGTTGTTGTTGGCGGTGATGGTTAGGATGACGCTAATCATGATGGTGATGGTGATGATGCTGATAGACAGAGATGATGGTGATGATGGTGAGGATGATGGTGCTGATGAGGAGGAGGAGGAAAAATAATATGATGATGATGATGATGATGATGATGATGATGATGATGCTGATGATGATGATGAGGATAGGAGGAGGAGGAGGAGAGGAGCGGAGGAGGAGGAGGAGGGAGGAGGAGGAGGAGGAAGGAGGCGAGGAGGAGGAGGAGGAGGAGGATGGAGGAGGGGAGGAGGAGGAGGAGGAGGAGGACGTGGAGGGACTGGCTGGGTCTCCGCGTCGGCCCAGTAGTGCGCCCGACTCCTGCAGGGTGGGGGGTGGGGTGGTCGGTGTCAGGCGGTCGCTGGGCGTCCCTCTCTGGGCAGGGGGGGGGGGGGGCATGGCGGGAGGAAAGGAAGGACAGGGAGGGAGGAAGGAAGGAGGGAGGGGAAGGAGGAGGGAGGGGGGAGGAAGAGAAAGAGGTGTGATGAGGAGATGGGGAGGCGAGGAGGCAGGAGAAGGAAGGATGGGGACGGAGGGGAGGAGGATAGGGAGGGAGGCGTGGCGGGTGAGGATGAGGAGGGTGATGGCGAAACGTGGAAGAAGGAGATTGAGGAGGAGGAAGGGGGGAAAGGTGGAGCTAAGGAGATCGATGCACTGGGTGGGCTCGAGGCGAGGGCCTCGCGGCGAATCTGAGGCGGTCCCTGCAATCTCGCCGTGCCCCCCCCTCTCATGAACATCCATTCGTATCTTCTCCCTTCCGCTGCTGCCTCCTGCTGCTCCTCCTCATTCTCCTCCTTCCTTCCTTCCTTCCTTCCCTCCTTGCTTCCTTTGATCCTCCTTTCTTCCCTCCTTCCGCTCGGCTTGACGAGACCCGCGTTGTCGGGGCCGCGCGCCCGACGTGGGCATCTACTCGCAGGCGGGTGCCCCAGTGCCTGGCCTGCGCACCCTCTCCGCGGCCGGGGGCTTTCCAACTGGCGCCCGACGCTGATACGGGGGACGCCTGGCCTTGAGCTTTCGGGGAGGGGTCCACCCGGCAGCCTCTCCAGTATGGGAACTGGTAGAGTGCCGCGCGGGCGGGGGCTCCTGGCTGCCCCGCAGCCTTTTTTATACATCTTTTTCATCCTCCGGCGGGCCCCCAACGCGAGGCTGGTGGAGTGCGCGCGGGAGTGGCCCCCGGCAGCCTCGCTAGGGACGGGTTGCCGCGCGGCGAGCGCTCGGCCCGGAGCGGAATGGCTAGACGGGCGGGCCAAGCGGGCCAACCCTGGGGCCAGCCAGGGCCCAGGGCCGGCCGGGGGCGTAGAGGGCAGGCCATGGCCCAGGACTGGGAAGGCCACGCGCGGAGCCGAGGACATGGGAAGGACGGGGCCAAGCGGAGCCGAGGACGCGGGCAGGACGGGGTCGAGAAGGGGCTGCGGTGTCTGGACCTGTCCGCTCCGGTTTGGCCTCGCTGCTATGCCTGCAGCGCCACCTCGAGGCGGCGCGCTTCCTGCGGCGTGCAACCAACAACAGGGTCCAGGGGCTGGCCGTGAGCTCCGGCGGGGCGCGGCCAGGGCTGCGGCTACTGCTTGAGCACCCGCGCGGCTCCGTCTCCTGCGACTGGCCGCAGAAGCGGCCCCGCCCTGCGGCCCTCATCGCGTCGCAGTCGAACGCCCCGTGGAGGCGGAGGCGGGCCCACGCGCGCACCTCTGGGAGCGAAGCGCTGGCCTTGCTGTGGTGGAGGGCCGCGCGGCCCGCGCCAGCCCCGCGGGCCAACGACTCTCGCAACACGGGGCTCGCGCGCCAGGCCTGCTCGTGCCGGAGCGCCGCCGCCCGCGTGTGTCAGCGGTGCTGAGCCTACATAGGCCCTGGACCCCGCCTGCGGCCCTGGCGGGTCTGGTACGCCCCACTGGTGCAAGAGCTGGCGGACGTGCTGCATCCAGGAGACATTGACCTGCTCCGTCGGTGCGAGGACACGCTTGGCTTGGCCATGTCGGGGGTCCGCCTGGACGCGGCTGTAGAGGCGGATGGCGCGTTCCTCAATCATCGTGGCCCACCAGACGGTCCACCCCATGTGGTTGGTACAGGAAGAGGGCCCGCGGGATGGGGCCGCGAACGCCGAGGGCTCCCCAGGCCAACCGCTCCTAGAGGCGGTTCAGGGTCGCCCCGAAACCCTCCACGTGAACGCAGAGCTCCGCACCGTGCGCTACTTTTAGGAGCGTGCTCACGGTGAGGCCGAGGCTCAAATCGTGGATGGCGAACCCCAAGTAGCTCTTCGTCTGGGTGTGCCGCCAGCCAACCGCGAGCGCTTGCCGCTCGATGGCCTGGAGGTGCGCCTGCCCGGGCGGCCCAGCGGATCGGTGGGCGCCGTTTCACGACGAGGCACACGTACTCGTCCACGAAGCCGACGCCGCTGACGGGGCGGGTGTCGGGTAAGCCCCTGGCCAGGATGGCCGTCTTCGCTGGGCCTTGCCGGAGGTGCCCCTGGTGGCGGCACGCAGCCTCCTGCATGGCGCGGACGAGCAGCCCGCGCTGCGCTCTCGACCCGACCTCGGCGCGGACGTCGTCCACGAACGCCCGCGGCCCAATCTTGGTCCCAGAGGAAGCATCGAACAAGCCCTTCGCGATGGCGCCCGAGGACGCCACCGCCATGCAATTGTCCGAGTCCGCGTGGCCGTCCGCGATGAAGGCTGCCCACTGGCTGACTTCGCCGACGTCCAGCATCTCGGCGTCCGTTCTGGCGGGCCAGGTAAGCCAGCATCTCGGCGTTCGTCTTGGCTGGCATTGTAAGCCGCCACCGAGGCTGGCGACGGGTTCAGCTCGAGCCCGAGGCCCACGCCTGGCGTGGCTGCGATCTCTTCGATCTTGGCTGCGTTGGCGAAGCTGTACTGGGCTGGGCTGAGCTTCCTGCTCCGGCATGCCGACCTGCAGCCGGTACAGCCGTGTGCACTGGCCGCGTCTGGTGACCGAGATGGCGGTGCCCCGCAGCATGGCTTCGGCCATGAACCACTGCCGGCCTGCCACGCCCGCCGGGTCATGCAGCGCAGCCATCGCCTCCTGCGATCGTGGCTGTCCAACGCTTCCGCCTCGTCGGCGAAAACGTCCACGACTGGCCAGGCCTGGTGCGCGAATGTGGCCCAGACCTCGAGGTCGAGGAGGCTGGAAACCAGGCAGTCCCCACCTGCATCCTGGATGTCCCCGAGCCCGTGCTCCATCGCCTCGAGGCTACGCCCAGTCCGCAGCTCATACAGGAATCGGCCCTCCCTGAGCGTAGCGCGAGGACCCTGTAGCCGCTGTAGTCCACGTAGGCCCGGCCTTCCCTGCGCTTGCTGTAATTGTCCCGCAGGAGCCACAACGCTGGGACGTGGCCTAGCCAGAGGCTTTCGGTGTCCATGCCCACAAGCGACCGCAGGACCCCCAGGTGCGCGCTGTGGAGGAGGAGTAGGGGAGGCCCCTGCAATGGGACCGGAGGCGGATCCCCCGCAGGGCCGCGCCAGCCTCGGCAAGCGTAAAAGCCCTGGCAGCATCCTGGCGTCTGAGCTCGCGGGCGGCCTCGGTGCGCTGGCGTGCAAGGCGCATGCGCATCGCGGCCGCGTGGTCCTCATCCCATCCCTGGGCCCATGGGGGGGCGTCGCGCCGTAGGATATACCTGTGCGTCGAAGATTTGCGCCGTGCCGACGCACATGCGGGTGTCGTCCTCGGGGTGCCGCATGATGGCTGGGAGCCCCCAGGGGGATCCGTGGCGTACTGCTTGAGGACCGTGGCGGCCGCGAGCGGGTGCTCCCGCAGGAGGCGCAGGAAGCGGCGGCGCGCGCCCTCTCGCGGGGCCTGGGCCCGTGCGTCCCGCGCAGCCCGCAGCCAGAGTTGGGCGGCGCGCAGGACCGCCAGCGACTCTGGTGGTGGGCCGCCGATTCTGTGACCTCGGAAAGCTGCCACCTTGGCCAGGTCGTCGTCCTGCCGGCGGCCTGGCCTGGCCCTGGGCGGCCTCCTCCTCTTCCTCCTCCTCGTCCTTCTCCTCCTCCTCCTCCTGCTCCTTTTCCTCCTCCTCCTCCTCGCTCTTTTCCTCTTCCTTCCTCACCTCCTCTTCCTTCCTCCCTCGAGGGCTACCCCCTCGGTCACTAAACAGCGATACCAGGTATTGCAGGTCAAAGCTGACCCTCGGACCGATCCTGGAGTGCATTTTGACCAGAAGTTTGACGGGAACCCCGCCCTCTCTGGAGAGCCCCTGTGTGGACGGCGACGACGACAGCGACGACAAGGACGCCGACGGCGACGGCGACGACCTCAGAAGTATCGACTCCTTCCCTAGGGACATTTCCCCAACCAAGATTTATTGTTGAAGGTCCCGAGGCCCGAAATCGTGTCGCGGGTGCCGAAATTGGAAAAAACACAAATGATCAGCCACCTTGCCTCTGACACCGAGTGTTCCCTAGGACTCTCATCTGTGCTGATGCTGCAGCCAGGACTGTAATTTCGTCAGGGCCTGGACCACCAAATTCCCGAGCGCTTATGGGCGCTCTTGGGGTGCTCCGAATGGGCTTCCAGCACGGTTGCAACGCCGCAAACGACCGGGAGATCTTCGCGGAGCCCCCCACCAAGCACCCAAGGCGGTCCAGGAGCGCCTCTGGACGGCCCAAGAGACCTCCAAGACGCTCCAAGAGGCCCCCAAGAAAGCCCCTAGATGCAAAATTCGTCCCATTCCCGGAGGACAATCTATATTTTCAGCATACACGCCTCTCGGGCTTTCACAACATCCAAGACGGCCCCAGGGGCCCACACGATCGCCCCAAGACGATTTAAGAGGCCCCCAAGAGGGCTCCAAGACCGTCCAAGAGGGCCCCAAGACGGCCCAAGAAGCCCCCAAGACGGCCCCAGGGCGGCCCCGAGAGGAGAACCCACAGGGGGAACCCGAACGGACATTTCGAGCCTTCGGCCCCAAGACGCCCCCAGGAGGACCCACGAAGACCCAAAGAGGCCCCAAGAGGCCCCCAAGAGGCCCCAGAGGGCAACAAGAGGCTCCCATGAGGCCCAATAACTGCTTCCCAAATCGGCCCCCGAGAGCGATCCGAAGAGACCCCAAGAAGCATCCCTGAGGACTCTGACCCACAAGCCAAGCACGGTGGCGGGATGGGCCGAAGGCAATTCGATAAAATCGGCCGATAGACTCTCGATCGGCGATCGTCCGTCGACGACGGCCGACGACGACGGCGCCGATGACAGGCGACGACGACGGCTGCGACAGCGGCGACGGCAACGACGACGCCGACAGGCGACGAAGACGAGAGGCGACGACGGCGACAGCGACGACGGCGACGACAGGCGACGAAGACGATGGGCGACGACACGAAACGAAGACGCCAGGCGACGATGACGACGGGCGATGACGACTACAGGTGACGAAGACGTCAGGCGACGACAACGGCGGCGACGACAGCCACGACAAGGATGACGCCGACGACGGCGCTGACGCAGACATCCGGCGCTTCCCGATGAGTGGGCCCCCAGATCCCTCGAGCCCTCCACCAGGGCCTGTTTTTTCATCGCGCGTCGTTTTCTGCCCGAAGCTGGCCTCCAGAGGCCAAGACTGGCGACAAGCTGGGCGCCTCGTTTCTCTCAAGGCGCCCCGCAGCGCTCCGAGGGTGTCCGGGCGCGGCTCCGGAGCGACTGATCTTCATCCTGGGCCTGCCTGAACCCTGGCATCCGTCGTCGACCTGACTTGGCCCCAGAGGTCCCGACCCCTTCCCTGGCGGCAGTTTCTCGCACCGGATCCATTTTGGATGGTCCCAGGTCCCAGTGACGGCCCCCGAAAGCCGAACCCGAGATAACACGCTCAGATTGAACGAACCATCTCGTCGGAGATCTAGGACGACGCCGACGACGGCGCCGACGACGAGGACGTCCTCGCACCACACGGCGTGCCACCCGGGCGGCAGCTCGGCCTCCGGGTCTGGCTCGGCGGCCGCCTTGCTGGGGGCTGGCTGGGCTCAGCTCCAGGAGTGGGCGAGGGTCGGACTCCGAGCAGACTTTCCAAGAAGGCAACGGATTGTGACGAGGAGTCTGCACGACAATGAGGAGGATTTTCCAGGGTCTGCTCTGAAAGGATGTTTGATCAAGACGAGGAGGACGAGAAGGACTGCCTCCCCTCCCCCGAGTGCGGCACAGTTGGGCCGGAGCGAAAAAGGCGTGCTGCGAGGGCCGCAGCCCGACCCCTACGGTGAGGGCATTGGACAAGGAACCATTGGGTATGGAATCCAGGGTCCGGAAGCTGGTGGAACTCCAATCGTGGATCGGCCATGGATATCACCGCCCCTCTCATCGGAGGAACCCTTCAGGGTCTGAAGCCTCCTGGGCACCTTCGCCCACGCCCCCAGCGTATTCCTTCACCTGATGCGACGATGGGCTTCGTCCGTTGTCCCCGCCAGGGGGCCCAGCGCAGACCCAAGAAATCCACGCGGAGCGCCAACACTTTATCTTTATGCAGTGTTTTCTCCGATGGATGCAATGTCACATGCAACTCGCGACGCATCGAGCCGACCTTGGAAAGTAAAGAGACACACACGGCAAGCTCGGGCCGCAACGACTCTGGCACTGGTCTCTGGGACCGCGCGGATCCTTCCACATTGGGCTGCGGGCTGCGTTTCGATCGCTGGATCGTTCCGTTTTGGCCGACTTGGGAGCCGCTGACGGCGTTCCACCTCAGACGCCCGCGGCGGGGTCGGTGCCGCGTCTGTTGGCACGGCACGAACCTGCCGCAGCCATGCTCCTCCCCCTGGCGAACACGCCAGGGGCGGGGGCATTGAGGGTCCCAGGTGTTCACCAGACGGACCAGCAGTGGCAGCGGCAGCGACGAGGAGGGGAAGGAGGGATGAGCCGAGGTAGCCCAAGGAGGAAGAAGGAAGAGAAGAGAGAGAGAGAGAGATATATCTATATATATGTATATATCTAGAGAGAGAGAGAGAGAGAGAGAGAGAGAGAGAGAGAGAGAAAGAGAGAGAGAGAGAGAGGACCGATGTTCTTGCACGCAGGGAGAGGAAAGGGAGGACCCCCCCTGGGAATCTCAAACCGCCCCAACACGGGCCAGAAGGGGCCCAGGAGGCCGCCAAGACGGTCCAGGAGGCGCCCGAAACGGCCCAAGAGCGCTCCTGGACGCCCAAGATGGCCTGAAGACGGCCCAAGAGGCCTCCAAGACGCCTCAAGGAGATCCCAGGAGGACCCCCAAGGGGGCCCCAAGAGGGTACAATATTAAAATTGCTCATAGACTTTGAAGCATTTTAACATTATCGTCTTTTCCGTCTTAGAAGCGCCGAAGACGGTCCAAGAGGCCCCCAAGATCGCCCCAAGACAGCCCAAGATGCCCCCAAGAGGAGCCAAGGCGGTCCAAGAGGGCCCCAATATAGCCCTGGAGCCCCCCCAAAACGATCCCGAGAGGCCCCCAAGATGGCCTCAAGAGGGTGAACCCGCACGGACCCTTCTAGTCCTCCACCCCAAGATGACCCCAAGAGCCCCCAAGATGCCCCCGAGGCGCCCCCAAGGGGCCCCCAGAGGCCCCCAAGAGGTCCCCAAGAGGCTCCCAAGAGGACCCCGAGAGGCCCCCAAGAGGCCCCAAAGGCCCCCAAGAAGCCCCAAGAACCAAGAGGCCCCAAGAGGCGCTCACACGCGTGCTGCCAGGCCAGAGGTGCACGGCCTGACTTGGTATTGCTCGGAAGCGAAAGTGATGAACGAAGAACCTTCCACCCGTCGCCGTCACCGGTCGTCGGCCGTCGGCAGCCGTTCGCCGTCTGTCGTCGTCGTCGTCGTCGTCGTCGTCGTCGTCGTCGTCGTCGGTTCGTCGTCATTAACTCCTTCGTCGGTCGTCGTCGTAATTATCCTGCTCGTCGACCGTTGGTCGTCCGTTGTCGTCGTCATCGTCCATTTCAACAACAATAACATCAGGAGCGCCCCGGATCGGCGGCACTGGCCGGAGGCCACTACAATAGAGAGAGAGAGAGAGAGAGGACCGATGTTCTTGCACGCAGGGAGAGGAAAGGGAGGATGGAGGTTGCTGGACGTTTCTGGCCCTGCTTGGGTCTGGGTCTTTGGAAACCTCCGGAGCCCTCTCTCCTCGCTCCTCGCTACTCCTCGCTTCTCCTCCTCCTCCTCCTCCTCCTCCTCCTCCTCCTCCTCCTCCTCCTCCTCCTCCCCCTCGCTCCTCCTCCTCCTCCTTCTCCTCCTCCGCTGGGATCTTACACATCTGGCGACTTGGATTATCTAACATCCGGGCTGGATGTTCGTTCGCCGTTTTTGGCTTCTAGAGGTCGTCTCTGGGCCGCGGGGCCGTCTGGAATCGGCTCCAGAGGAAACACATACCCTGGGGAAGGGATCGAGAGGTCTGGGGGTCCACGCCACGAGAAGCGTGGTGAAGTCAGATGCTTGAGGCTGCTGGGGTGACGAGGCCCAGATATCTCGCGCTTCGATTTTCCCGATGGGTGGGCCCCCAGACCTCTAGGACCCCTCCCCCGGGGCTGGCTCTTCATCCCGAGCTGCTGCTCGGCAGCCCCGAGGCCCGGGCCCGGCCTCTGGAGGCCAGGAGCGGTGCCAAGCTGGCCGCCCTGGCTTCTCTTCGAGGTGCTGGACGCAGGCAGGCCAACGCACAAGTCCTGGGAGGAGCTCGGGGGTCCCGAGGACGGTGCGGCGACGGGCCGCGCGGTGACCTCGCGCTCCCCGAATGCCTCACTGCACGGGGACCCGGAGGCCCCCAGTGGCCCGAGGGGTCGGAGAACGACCAGAGGCCCCAGAACGGGGCGGTCGCCTCGAACCCCTGTGATTCGCCGCGCGGAATGGTCACCTCTCCGCTTGGGCTCCCCCCCCGAAGAGCACGACTGGCGTGGAGGACGACCCAAGGCCCCAAAACTGTAACGGAATGGGCACCTCTCCGTTTGGGCCCCCCCCCCAAGATCACGACGGGCGGCGTCGCCCCGCGTCAGGCACACGGGGGAAACTCACGGCTCGACATGGCTCGAGACGTGTCGGCGTCTCCAGGTGGGCCGGGTAAAGCGGGGGGCTAGCGCTTGATTGCCCGACGCAGGTGCGCGCGCTGGAAGGGGCGGGGGGCAGGGAACGTACTGAAAGAAGGGGATGCGCGGATACGAGGCGTGCGACGCCATCCGCGGCATGGGGGAGGGGAAGCGGCAAGGCGCCGCCCGACGGCAGAGGACGTAGGACTGCGCGACGTAGCAACCCATGTGGGTTCCAGGGCACGTTGTGAGGAGAGGAAAGGCTGTAGATCTGGGAGATCCCATAGCCCCGACCATACTGTCCCTCCCCCCAATCCCTACCCCCCTCTTCGACGCTCCCGGCATTTCTCACGAAACCGTGAATTGTTGACACGATGTCAGGTCCTGGCAAGTGCTGTCAGAATCATGACGGCATGCACCTTCGAACGAGCAACTGGCCACGTCACAGTACGCTCGCAGCCTTCTTTTGTCGTCTCAGTCTGCTCGATCCCTTCAGGTCTTCGACTGCTGCTTCGAGGCCGTCTTGTGGTGCGCTCGGAAACCCTTCGGATGTCCAAAGAGTTTTCAGACCTGCTCCGTCAGCACTTGGAACGTCAGCCTTCCAGCGGCGCTGTAGAGCTCCAAGTCTGCATGCTTAGACAGAGCTCTCCTTTTCAAACATTGACTTTGCATGCCCCTGGCTCCCTTTCGAGGAGCCTGCGCACTGACCACAACAACAAAGAACAACGTGGATAATCGGAGCAGCAAAGTGTACCGTGCTCGCGTCGATGCCCGCTTAGGGCGTCTGGGAGACGCCTGCCTGAATCTGCTGTGAGCTCAGGCGTAGCCTGCCTCGACACGCCTCCACTTGGCAAGCGCTACCCCCGGGTGCCAGACAGCCGCCTCCAGAGACAACGCATGCGAACAAGAGCGCAGAGAGGCTGGAGCTGCATGAGCGCGAAGGTCATGGTACAGGTGCCATCTGGACATCTGCGGGCGCCCCGGCGCCACCGCCTCGCCCCTCGTGGGCAGCCCCCCCCCTCGGGCGACCCAGGCGCAGTCTCCAATCTCCAGCCGACGATCAGAAGCCTTTGCTGACCCCGTCACGACAACAGCCCTTACGACACGCTGCACGCCGGTAAACACACATTTATTTGTATGTATATAGATAGAAGTAGGGAGGCGGATCAAGTAGATTGGGTTCAGGCCCTCCCAGAGAATCACAGAACACAGCAGAAGCTCATCGGTTCTTGAAGCAAGAGGGCGCCTATGAAGTATATTGGGATCTGGCAATACAGAAATACCTGCTTTAAACGACCGGCTTGTATGCCTCAGTGGGTGATAGCGTGTCGCCCTGCCTTGTGGGACGGGAAGCTGGGGAAAGCTCGGCACGTGAATGCCCGGACACTGGGGCGTGGCAGGCAGGCCAGAGCCAGCCGGCGGCGCGACACGCTGAGCAAACGTTCCCCTGGATGCACCCCTTCCCCCTCCTGGGAGCATGCACACCTGCCCCCCCCATACAAAAAAATCAAACGAGGGGGATCGGTGCAGCAAGGCGCACCGTGCTAGCGCATGGGCCCGCTCGGGGCGCCTGGTCAGCCGGCAAATCCAAGGATGAGCAAACATAGTACGAGGAACCCAGCGTAGGAGGAGGAGTTCGTCCAACCCTACCTCTCACCCCTCTGACTCGCGGGATAAATACGAGGAGGGAAGGGGAGAACGGAGGCGGTTCACGGCCATGGAAGCGTGTTTCCTCGCTCAGACGACTCGCCGTCGGAACCGACATCCGAATCGTCGGGCTGCTCCTCGGCCCGCTGCTCGCCCAGGGCATTCGCCGTAGGGAGCTCAGACGTCAACAGATCGGACGATGCCTGCACTGGAGCAAAAGGAGGAGGGGGGAGGGAGGAGAGGAGGAGGAGGAGGAGGAGGAGGAAGGAGGAGGAGGAGGAGGAGGAGGAGGAGGGAGGAGGAAGGAGGAGGAGGAGGAGGAGGAGGAGGAGGAGGAGGAGGAGGAGGAGGAGGAGGAGGAGGAGGAGGAGGGGAGGAGGAGGAGGAGGAGGAGGAGGAGGAGGAGGAGGAGGAGGAGAGGAGGAGGAGGAGGAGGAGGAGGAGGAGGAGGGAGGAGGAGGCGGTGGAGGTGGAGGAGGAGGAGGAGGAGGAGGAGGAGGAGGAGGAGGAGGAGGAGGAGGAGGAGGAGGAGCAGGAGCAGGAGGAGGAGGAGGAGGAGGACGAGGAGGAGGAGGAGGAGGAGGAAAAAGAGGAGGAACAAAACAGCAAAATGAGTGCCGGCGGCGGCAGCGGCGACCCGCGTGGCTAGCCCGCCGTCGTCGTTGCTCGCGGCCGCCACTGCCGTTGTCGTCGTCGCCGCCGCTGTCCTCGTCGCCGCCGTCGTCGCCGCCGTCGTCGTCGTCGTCGCCGTCGCCGTCGCCGTCGCCGTCGCCGTCGCCGTCGCCGTCGCCGTCGCCGTCGCCGTCGCCGTCGCCGTCGCCGTCGTCGTCGTCGTCGTCGTCGTCGTCGCCGCGCGGTAAGGCGGAGCTCCGCAGGCCGCCTCGGGCTCGCGCTCCCCGGCGGCCGCGTCCTGCGCGGCCTCCTGCGCGCCCCCCCTTTCCCCACTTGCGTTGAGCAGACTTTACGTAGGAACGGATCAACAATCGTGCTACTCTCAGGGACGCGTTTATTAGCCAGCATGGGCCCAACACAACAAGTTTCTAGCAATCAGTATTGTATAGTCTACGTGGGGCAACTTACTTGTGGAACTCGCAGTTGTCAGCTCCACTGCTCGCGCAGTCATCCCACCAACCCTCCCGCACCTTGTTTTGCAAAACACATGCGGCGGCGATTGCGATGTTTTTTTGTTTTTTGTGTTGGCTGGTGCACCTTTGCGGCCGCGCTAGTCCGCGCATGTTCGCGCCCGCAGCGGCCAGCTAGTGCAACGCGACCGACGCGGCCGCGGTGTCACTGACCTGAGAGTACTTCCCAACGGGCATCTCAGTGCGAGTCGGCCAAGTGGGCGGGCGCGGTGTCATGGCAGCGTCGACCACGGTAGACACGATTATGATAGTAGCGACGCTGGTGACGATGGTGACAGCGGCGACGGCACGGCCAATGACGGCGCCGATGCTGATCACGCCGGCGAAGATGACGGCGTCTCCGCGTCGGTGATGAAGGTTTTGGAAGGTAGAATGTAAAGACAATTGTGAAAACCTTATGGTTTCTCTTGAAGATTCGCAAGAACGCGACCGGTGTTTTTGGACACGGACGTTGCAAAACCATGTGGTTACATCCGTTATCGGGGCACATTTTTTGTTTTCTAATTATTTTTACGACCCGTCGAATGTTCTTGAAGGATTGTGGCGTGCGCGCGCGACGACGCGCGCGTGCATACATCGTCCCGTTTTTTTTTCTCGTACGTGATTATTGCGGCAGCACGCGCGCAAGGGCGTCCGAACGATTTCGACATGCTCGCGCGAGAGGCCCATTCGGTATAATTTCATGGACATGTTGAGAACGCAAATGTTTATTTTTTTTAATCAGAAAACTTTTTTATAAAACAAAAAATCGCGAGAGCGCGAACGCCTATTCTGTTTGAAAAATGTTGTTGCGAAGCCTTCTGTTTTCCTGTCTTCGGGGCACTCGTTCTTGACATAAGGTTTTTGAAAGATTTCGACATGCGCGCGCGACGACGCGCGCGTGCACTTCGTCCAGCTTTTTGCAAGGATATATTTTGTCTTGTTATACACGAATGTGCGCGCGTAATATTTTTTGGAGAAAAAGATGATGGGGGGGAGCCGGGCCTGTCTGAGATGATACGACTTCATACTTAGCATGCATGGACGATGGGGCAGAACCACCTGCAAATTGCAATGCGAAAAGGGGAGCGGTGAAGTCGGGGGGGGGGGGTAGATCCTAATACTCGTAGAAGGGAAAACTAAGTAACCTGTTCCGCACGTGACCACGTCCCATGCTCGTGCAAACATCCCACCCGCCCACCCGCAGCTTGGTTGCAAAACCCGGGCTGCGGCGATTGCCATGGCTGCTTGGCGCTGGCCGGCGCATCGCCATAGCCGCGCTTGCGCGCGCAGCCTCGCGCGCAGAACGACCAGCTACTCTGGCGCGACCGACGCGGCCGCGGTGGCGCTGATCGCTGGGCACTTCCCGGCGCGTCTTGCACGCCGCGCAGACGCTCGGGCACGTCAGTGCGAGTCGGTGCCTCGAGCGGGCGCGGTACCATGACGACGTCGACAGAGGGAAACACGAAACTGGTAGCGATGCTGGTGACGACGACGATGACGACGGCAAGGCCAAAGACGGCGCCGATGCTGATCATGCCGATGACGATGATGGTGTCCACGCGTCGGCGATGAAATCTTGGTAGGACTTCGACATGTGCGCGCGGCCGACGCGCGCGAGTGGCCCGCATGGGAATGATTTGTCAGGGATCGTGTCCCCCAGCACACGCGACAGGGCGCTCGAACAATTTCGACATGCGCGCGCGAGAGGCACCCTTGGTCGCATGTCCTGAATATGTTGAACAACCATTGGTTTTCTTACGAATTCGCAAGAACGCGCGCGCAAACTGATTTGAACTTTCACGTACAAAATCCGCACGGGACCTGCAGTTTTTATGTATTTCGGCATGCGCGCGCGACGACGCCCGCGTGTGCACTTCGTCTTATTTTTGTGTAAGCCTTTGTTTCCTCTGTTTTTGAAATCTTACGACTTTAGATAAACGAAGTCGCGCGCATGGTGTTATTGAATCGCTCGCTCATTCCGCCGGCCCGTGGGGGCCTCTTGGGGGCCTCTTAGGGCCTCCAAGTGGCCTCTTGGGGGCCTCTTAGAGACTTTTGGGGGCCTGTTGGGGGCGTCTTGGGGGCCTCCTGAGGGCTCTTGGGGGCCTCTTGGGGCTTCCTGGAGGCCTATCAGGACCGAGGGCTGGAAATGTTGTTTCGTGCTCCCCCTTTGGGGCCCTCTTGGGCCGTCTTGGGGCCCTCTTGGGGGCCTCCTGGGCCCTCTTGGGGCGATCTTGGGGGCCTCTTGGGCCGTCTTGGGGCGTCGGGAAGCCGACAAGGTGGAAACACCAAAATCTTTCCAAAACCGAAGGACAAACAATGATTGTTGCATCTTGGGGCCCTCTTGAGAGTGCTCTTGGAGGCCTCGTGGGGCGAATGGGGGCGTCTTGGGGGCCTCCTGAGGGCTCTTGGGGGCCTCTTGGGGCCTCTTAGGGGCTTCTTGGGGCTTCCTGGAGGCCTATCAGGACCGAGGGCTCGGAATGTTGTTTCGTGCTCCCCCTCTGGGGCCGCTTTCGGTGCGCTCTAGGGGCCCTCTTGGGCCGTTTTGGAAGCTTCTTGGGCCGTCTTGGGGCCCTCTTGGGCCGTCTTGGGGCCCTCTTGAGCCCTCTTGGAGCGATCTTGGGGGCCTCTTGGGCAGTCTTGGGGCGTCGGGAAGCCGACAAGGTGGAAACATCAAAATCTGTCCCAAACCTACGGGAAGGCAATGATTGTTGCATCTTGGGGCCGTCTTGAGTGCTCTTGGAGGCCATCTTGGGCGTCTTGGAGCGATCTTGTGGCATCTTCGAGCCTTCTTGTATCATCTTGGGGTCCTCTTGGAGGCCTCTTGACCCTTTTTGGGGCTCTTTGGAGGGTATCGAGGGAGGCGCCCAGACGGAAAACCATCTCTGACCCGACCCTGCCTGGGTACTTTTCCTCCGGGGACCCCCAGGGGCCGCCCCCCCCCGCGCGAAGTAGAAATACTGTAAAGCAGTTACCGGAGATCTTAGCACGCCTCTGGCCCGTTGGGCCGTGAAGTCGCGCACATGGTGTCATTTGGCTGGGATGGGGGGGTCGATACCGACTGGGCTTGGATGATTTGAGTCAGTATGGAAAGTAAGCGAATAAACATCTATCACATGCGCAATACAATACACAAGGGTGAAGGGTTCAGTTTGGCCTCGGTGAGATGGTGGACTGTCTTGTTTTGCAGAAAGTGCACTCTATGTGGTGCACGATATGTTGTGCACCTTATGTGGTGCAACATCTGTTGCGTAATCAATATGATGCAATCTGTGCGTTCAGTTCATACTGTGCCAGTTATGTGGTGCAGTCTAAGTGGTGCAACTGACTACCCTGCACCGCGCTCGACCACTCCACTGCTCGCGCAACCATCCCACCCACCCACCCGCAACTTGGTTCGCAAAATCTCTTAAGACCGTGACGGTGGGTACCAAATGGCACTTGCCAACGACAGCGACGCCGACGACGACAGCGACAACGACGACGACGACGCCGACAACGACTACGACGACACCGATGACGTCTCCAACGACTTCGACGACGCCGACAACGACGACGACAACGACACCGACGACGACGACGCCGACGCCGACGACGACGACGACGACGATGACAACGACGACGACGATGACGACGCCGACGACGACGACGGCGACGACGACGACGACGACGACGTCAACGACGCCGACGACGACGACGACCACGACGACGACGGCAACGACGACGACGACGCCGACAACGACGACGAAGACGACGACGCCGACGCCGACGACGACGACGAAGACGACGACGACGTCGCCAACGAAGACGACGACGAGGGAGGAGGGAGGACGACGACGGCGACAACGGCGACAACGACGACAACGACGAGGAAGGAGGGAGGACGGCGACGACGCGAACGACGAAGAAGGAGGAAGGACGGCGACACCGACGACGGCAACGACGAGGGAGGAGGGAAGACGACGACGACGACAACGACGACGACGACGACGACGGCGAAATAGGAGGGACGACGACGAGACGCCGACGACGGACGACGACGACGACGAGGGAGGAGGAGGAAGGACGACCACGGCGACAACGACGACGGAAACGACCACGACGCCAAAGAGGACGACGACGACGAACACGAGGAAAGACATAGGACGACGTAGGCGACGACGACGACAACGACGCGGGAGGAGGGAGGACGGCGACGACGACGACGACGACGACGACGACGACGCAAGAGCGCGCGCGCACGCTTTTGTTGAAAATCCGTGTTGCGAAACCTTGGGTTTTTGTAGATTTTTTGGACGCGCGATTTCGACATCCTTCCGAAACCGATGGGTTTTGAGGGATTTCGGCGTACGCGCGCGACCACGCGCGCGTCTGCACTTCGTCCCGTTTTTTGCAGAGGATTCTCGCGACGGCACACGCGCCAGGGCGTTGGACAGATTTCGACATGCGCGCGCGAAGCCCGTTTGGTAGCATTTTGTTAAAATCTTGAAAAACCTATGGTTTTCTTAAGATTTCGCAAGAGCTCGCGCGGAAGCTTTTTTAGCAAATCAGTGTTGCGAAACCTTGTGTTTTTGTATGTTTTTTGTTGAAAGCTCGATTGCGAAATCCTTCCGGCACCGAAGGTTTTTGAAGGATTTTGGCATGCGCGCGCGACGACGCGCGCGTGTGCAGTTCGTCTCTTTTTTTGCAAGGGATTCGCGAAAAAGTGTTATACTAGAACAAAAAAAAAAAGGCACCGCATACTGTTTTTTACAAGGGACCCTCAAGGGGGGGGGGAACCGGCCTGCCTGGGATGGTACGA